AGTTATGAGGCGTTCCTTTGAGACTAATGAAAGGAAGCCCTGTTTAGTCATGCCATTATTCTTAAAGAAAGGATGGATAATTAAGTGGGAAGCTAATGTCGAACGCACTGCTCGTTACTCTTATTGATGATTTAAACAGCTATGAACAGCTGCCTACCACCCTCAGTCATTCTTTCAGCTATCTCTCTTGATTGCCTCCTGTCTTAAAGAGCAGCTTTCGTCTCATTCGCAGATTCCTGTTATTCAGCTCGTAGCCTTTCTGCAGATGCTATTGTGCATGTTCTTTGCAATCCTCTCCTTGTGGCTTTTTAGAATGTCATTTAACACGTGGACTGACTACTTTGAAAAACACTTCTTGAGAGGAGGTTTTAGATCATTTCAGAGTCAATCTTCCGTGCGGACACAGAGAGGCCAAACCCTGGCTAAAAGTATTTTGGCATGCTTTGCTTGCAGTGTTGTCTTCGATGGCCTACTGGATAATCAGCACATTTTTCAATTGATCTTCTATAAAAATCATACTGAAACTCAGGATTTATGCAATATGATACTGTCTCATATATTTCACTCTACTGCATAACTATTAAATGCATTTTGATTATGTTCAGAAATCTGCTAGACCTTTCCATCGGACATTCATGGGCGGCATAGTGGTGTCACAGCTAGAGCTGAAGTCTCATAGTTCTTCGGTCCTGGGATTGATCTAGGGTTGGGGTGCCTTCTGTGTGGAGTTTGCATGTTCTCCCTCATTTGCATTGCTGGCTACGTTAATGGGCATCTCCGAGTTGTCACGGGGTACTTCCAGGTCTGCTCTGTGCCAAACTGGCATCCTATCCAGAGTGTAGTCCTGCCGTGGACCCTGTTCTTCTAGAAGAGGCTCCAGGATACTGAAGCCCTTACCAAGAACAAGCCGGTCTCAGATAATGGATGGGTGGAATGACACTCAGCATACAGAATTACCCTTTTTTTTGGCTTATGATATGACATTAAAAGACAATCTGCATTTCAGCAAAACTAGGGCCAGTCAGTCTGGTACTGTAACTACAAATCTGGCGCATGTGAAGATTCCCAGCTCTCATCCAGACCTTCCCATTCACTCTGATTTAGATTATATATGTATCCGATTAAGATACAGCAATTACACCTACACTGGGGGTCACCAGTAGATAATATACTGGAAGCATTCTAAAATGAAAAGCTTAGCATGAAAAGGTAAGATCTAGATAGGTGCTGACTCAATGTTTGCCACAGTTTGTGACACTGGGAGGTCACACTCAGGGAATGCCAACTCTGGAGAGCCCTGGCTAAAGGCATCGGAAACTGACAACCACCTCTATTAACGTCTTTCACAGTAAAACACCTACTTCAGTGCCAGCTTTGAGATCAAGAATTTGTAAAGACAAAGCAGTGCTACAGGGACACTGCCTGCGCTGCAGAGGTCAAAGCTGTCAAGGAGGAGTCTGCAAAATGAAGTTTAGCAGCACGACAGCGTCTTTTTATCTCTTGTAATTGGATTACTCCCCCTCCCAGCCCTCCAGAGTTTTTCCAGTGCAGCAAAGTTCCCACACAGCAGCCCTCACTGAGGGAACAGATTCAGGACCTCGGACAGATCCTAAGAGAAACACTGTACATCGCAGTGGCCCTCCAAATTAAGAAAAAAAATCCTCAGCAATTCCTCTTGTTTGCCTGCAGTGAACCATTTCACCATTTGTGTATATAGCCCAGTTTCTTCAACATTGTGTTGCTTGCTCCATAACTCTTGTGTTAAAGACACATTGCTCCCCCTTCTTCAGGTTGGAATATCCATATTTCAAAACACAGCTTCCTAGAATTTATTTTTATATTTGAGGACCTCGTGTGCTCTTAGGCAATACAGAACTCGTGATGGAGCAGGTTTACTGTTTTTTTTCTTTGTTGCCTCATATAGGTCTAAGCCTTCTTGACTTCCAGGTATTTTATAAAATAAGACTGGGCGCCAGTCTCCAAGAAGATCCTTTCTTGGGCTACTCACTTCAAAGGACTGAAGAAAATGTCCGAAGTCTGGTTGAAAACTGGGTTTATCAGCACAAATGTACAGCTAAGACAAATGTATGGTCTTTGGTACAAAACTAGGACCAATCAATGAGAAAGTAATTGTATTTGCCAGTTCAACAAACAGGAGCTAAAGTGCTGATACACACAATCATCCATTAAGTCCAAACAGCCTAGGTCCTTGAACATATGACAGAGGACTTTTACATTCAGATGCCACAGAGATTAAAGAGCGAAATGCTCTTCTGAGATCCGGTAAGATTGTGATGGAAGTGTCACATTTTAAATAAAGCCCTATCTTTCTGGCCTTTTTTGTGCTGATTAATGCTCCCTCCCTCTGGGCGACCTCGTGTTATGTAACATGATTAATTTTCTTCCGATCGTTCTGGCTCTGGAATTGAACTGATCCAATCTAGAGCACAATCTCCGCAAGGACTTTCTCCATTTTTTAACCTGTTTTACTGCCTGTTCCACTGCACGTATCACCCTAATAGACTCATGTTTCTCTCTGAAGACTTAAACCCCCAAAATCCAAACATCTGGATGGCATCAGTAGACGTTCTTAGTCAAATATCCTATTCTTACATCACATCTCAAAGCACACCACAGAAATAAAAATATCAGCAAAAATCAAGGACAAATAGCCTACCACTCTTTACTCAGATATTGTAAAATGACTCTTTATAAAAAACTCTTTTAAGAATACAATTTAAAAAGTGATAACAGATTGAGAGTCTCAGTTTTAGGAAGGCTGTTTCACAGTCACAGAGAGAGAGGGGTTGTAAAACACCCAACCTCTCAAAAACTATATTTAGGAATCTGGAACTGTGGATTCAATGCTACCCATATATCCATCCATTTTCTATCCGCTTCTGTTAATTTAGGGCCATGGGGCAGCTGGAGCCTATCCCAGCAAGCAATGGGTGCAGGCAGGGTACACCCTGGACAGGATACCAGTCCATCACAGGGCACACACAGACACAAACTCACACATTCACACCAGGGCCAATTTTTCCAGAAGCAAATCAACCTACCAGTATGTCTTTGGACTGTGGGAAGAAACAGGAGGATGCAGAAAAAATGTGAACCCAGGGAGAACATACAAACTCCACTCAGATAGCACCCCAGGTCTAGAACTGAACCCAGGGACCCAGTGCTGCGAGGCAGTAATGCTACCCCTATGTATTGTTTTGAAATAAATATATTTTAAAAGTTTGAACAATATATTTAAGAGAATTACTGCTGTACTCCTCCTGTTTAGAACAAATAAAAGTCAGTACAAGATAGTGCAGTAGGGTATTATGATAATCTTAAAAGTACAATTAGCATTATTTTTTAAACTACAATAACGACTGTTATTTCAACGTTTCATGCTGTAAAAATAATCAATTTGCACTTGGAATTCCATATTACAACAGTAAGATCATTCATAGAAAAAGACCTTAAGTGAGCTGTGTTTTGGATTGTCATGAGGGCTTCCTGCACGCGAATTGCCATTCACCACAGCATCGTGATGACGTCACCCGTTACCGCTCTCCTGAGATCTTCTGAGCCTCTCATGTACTGGATGTACGCGATACACTGGATCGCCCCAGGAAAAACACGATAGGCTGAATACAAAAACTATTTGGGGCATCATCTTGCTGCTGGCTTGCAATTGCTGGCTGTGGTCAGACAGATAAGTAAATACAATAAAGCAGAAAAAATACCAACACCTAATCGGTGTCAACACCTTGTGCATAACTCAATCTCCCTTTCTATACTTTGATTAGAGTTCGAATTTTAATTCAGACAATAGCCTTTATTTACTGGTCTAATGAGCGTTAAATTAGTATGTTTTGTATTACAACATAAACAGCACAGACCCAATTCATTAACAGTAATTTATACATAATACATAAACTGTACATTATGTTCATGTTACTCGACATTTTGAGAGTTAAAATAACGTCCTGTTTCAGTTTAGGTATTAGATGTCTTGCATGATTTCGTCGCACGAGTACACTGTGTAAAAACATTTAAAAATTACCCCTGACGATGTGAAACCGACTCGGACAGATTAAATGACCCTGTGGTATCACCCTGTACTTGCTGCAGGTGAACTAAAGGTGGAGGAGGTTATTCCTCCGCCTGCACAACGGGTTTGTTTATCTCGCTATCTCAACACGGGGCTGTCGGAACGCTCCCTGCCCGGCGCCCCGGTTCTCGGCACCCTGCTGTAATCACAGGATTGAAACGCACGTCATTTCACCGGACTGCTGTCTTCTGTCATGATTTGGGTGCCGTGAAATCCTACTGCGGAAATACATCTTCAAGTTGGTTTTTAAAAATTATTGACTCCTTTAACATGTAAAGTATGGTGCACAGTCAACACAACGTTTGGGGTATAGCCTCATCACAAGTTTCCTCCAAATTCGTTTCTCCACTATGCAAGACCTGCACATACTGTTTCAATGTTTATCACGTCATATACAGCAATGACCGAAATATCTTTAACGTATTACGATAAAAATCCCTTCACTAGTTCCCTTATTGTAAAAACATAAATCGCCATAATTGATGGCAAAAGAATTACGCTTCACGTACGCAAAAAAAACCGACCGACGCGAAATTCTCCGATTTGTACCTCCAGCAGGGAAACAACAACAAGGAAAGGCTCGCGTGGCAAACCACAAGGTTAAGTCACCATCAATCGACCGTATACACCAACCCCCAAAACTAACGGGATACTGAGCAATGAGGACCCTTATTATTCAAACATATTGACTGAGATGCCATGCAATAAGGAAGCGGAGACCAAGCCTTTTTACTCGAATTGAACGAACAATACAGACGAAACACAAACCAGCAGGCGAACTACAGTAATGCTGCATCGTATCGTCTTAAGCACTGAGCGGTGGTTTATGAACGATGTAGACTGAAATGCTGTTTAATACAGACGTTTTCCTGTCAATACTGCATCACCGACTTACTGTTTGGGGTAATCCAGCCGGACCGGGAGCCGTTGGGGGCTTGTCTCTCTCGTAGCAGTGACAGAAGGTGACCCTGTGTTTGCAAGCGCCTCTCTGCATCCGCTGCTGGCGAGGAACGCGCTGCGCGAGTGGGCTGAGAGTATCACGCATACACAAATAGACAGGGGCCGGTCCTACTGGAAGACCTGCTGTTACATATTAATAACCGACAGGATGAGCTACAGCCATGGAAGGAGCCGCTTTTCACGAGGAAGGAAAACAGAGAAATGAAAAATTGATGTGCGGATATGTACACGATGTAATCTAGTACTGTATAGTGTTATTAATATTATTAGAACGGTTATTAGTAAATGTGGGTGTTGATAATAAAAGTAGCAGCAGGAGAATGGGAGCCCACATAATTAATTTGATATACAGTCGCTGTAATGCAGATTCAATATCAGGGATTATTGTTAATCATTATTTACAATCAGAAAAGGTTATTGCCTGCAATATTGGTATACATACAGTAATTCGCTGTACATTGTGATCAACGTGTGCCCGATACAAGGTTAGAACAATGCAGTTTGAAGCAGAAAGTGTTAATAACTTACATAAGCCTTCATTGTTGAAATATAGACAGTATGTTACGTTTTTCTGTCAGATCATTTCAGATACATATTTCTATACGCCGCACTTTACTATCATTACGAAATGCTGTCTGCTAACTACTCATCCTTCTGCATGTTAAAGAGGTTACGCTTCTGAATAATTATGTAACAACATCTTAGGGTTTCTTTCTTATTGTCATCAGCTACGCTATAAACAACCGCAACGTGCTGCTTTCATCTGGATCTCTGTCTCTCATGAAACCTTCTAGAAAGCTCCTCTTGAGACTTTATTTAATACCACTTAATAACTGTATGATAATAAAATGGCTTCTATTGTCGTCTGGTCAGACCATAACGGTCATTATATTACTTTGTAATACATATTACTTTTAATTTTAAATTCAGTGTTAATTACTCCATTGTTAGCCCTCCATTATCTAAGGTACTACTGTCGGTGTAAGCTTTTCAATCCATAAACAGAAAATAAATATATTTGTTGATTATTGACAAAATTAATGTGAGCATCATTGCTATAACAGAAGTTTACACACAGCATATTTATGCTGGATTATTTTAAACTGCCGTGTTCCTAAACTATAGGGACCATTTTCTTTCCCGACATTTTTACTTTTGTCAGGTGGATGGATTCTGAAGATAAGGGAAACTAGCATGTTATGTGTATTCCTTTACTTAACCCTGTCAGACAGGGATTTTAAACTCACTGGTTTTTGTTCCAAGCTTGGTAATTAATCAAATAAAACAACTTCATTATTTTCTTATTTCTACATATATATTTTTCTCAAGAAATTTTGCTTTTGATTACTTAAAAAGTGCTTACAACTTTACATAATTAAGAGGATAGCTGCTTATGAAACACCTTGTAGTCTGTTTTGAAGTCCCACAGTTATCCAGTTAAATAAACAACTAGACAAGCTGAGAGGTCGGTTGGAAGAAAAACCAGGAACTGGCCATGCAGGAACAGAATCTGGGATTCCTACTGCAGGAGGTGTATGAATGCTAGAAATTCCACAAAGAAAGAGAATTTCTCTTTCCAAAACCCTTTACAACGGCCACAGAGAAAGGAAGGATAGCCAGCATGTCTTAGCAGCTGGGAATAGACAAGGCGTGCCCAGAAAAAGACCTTGTGGGTGAGTGGGAGGGGAACATGCAAACTCCACACAGAAGACACTGCAGGTTAGAATCACACCAAGGAACCAAGCACTGATACAGAAGCATTCACCTCCGTGCCACTGTGCACCCCAAATGCTACACAGAGCATTTTAAAATTGTGCAAGTCTCTGAGCATGTTGAAGGAAAACCCTATTTCTCTCAAATACAGTAATCAGGGTCTCATGCCAGGGTTAAATTCGGAGGGCTATTTCTTTCGGATCTTGGCGTTGTCAACTTTTTAGCAGGTCTTTTTAGAGCTTTGCATATTTGCAGATTGTATAAAGGCGAAGGAGCTAAATGCTAGTGTACTTTCCTTGTCAGATGCACGAGGAGGCTGTGCTTAAATTACCCATCAGGCATCCCAGACCCCACACGCTGTGTTCTAAGTGCTCCGAAATGATTGTTCTTTGGAGCAGCTAGCTTGATGTCATGGCTGCCTGGAGAGTGCCAGTGCAAAATAAAAAAGCCTTTTCTATTTCTGTCAAAGAACGTTAGGGCAGCAGCTGCAAAAAGCCCATTGTAATCAAAGGGGGCTGCTGTCTGTCCTGTGGTGTTCTTTAACTCTCTGGTCACCACATGCGTTGTGATCAAGCTCCAGAAAAGCCTGCCGGTCAGATATGAGCTAGTTTCAATGAGCCTTTATTACAGGGTTTTAAACAACTATTTACAAGCCTGATTGTAGTACAGCAGGTTTTAAAATTGAATATACAGATGAATGTAGGTCGCTTTTGACTGTCCATCAGAACAGGCCACGATGCAATGACTGGTTTGGCATGTATTTGAACATGTACTAGTAAACATGTTTATAATGTACACAAATAATTAGATATAATTCCTCTTTGTATCTACTTTACTAAAGCACCTTTCATAAGAAATAATGTCAAAGCACAGTACAGTAAAAACGGGAAAATTAAAAGCATACCTAGATGAATATGTAATCGATACAACATACATCATAATCTACACAAAATAAAATCCACATTTCCTTATTAAAAACATCTCACAGTGCTTAGAAACTGTCACTGTGAGCTCTCCTCCATATATGTGCTTCCTCATTCTCATCCCTTTGATTCTCAAAGTATCGGGCTCTTTCGGAGATATTCCTCCTACATTTGGCTCAGTCACGGGCCATGATCTCCCCCAGCTGACACAGGCATTGCATTTCTTCACATCTGCCTCTACCATAACTCTGACATCCTTCTTCTGTCCTCCTCTGCAGCAATTGTCTTGGCTTAACCTTGAGAACCTTTTACAAGCTTGCTGTCTTACATCTGGGTGACATGACCCACTCAATGGAGCTCATGGGGGATGATCACAGCTTCAGTGCTGGGGTTCCTGCTTAGGAAACAATACTGGTGTTGGTGTGTCTGTCCTCCCACTTGCAAGATCTTCTGCCAACAACTTAGGTGATACAACTCCAGTCCTTTTAAGTGTGTCCTGTATGTCTGAGTGTTGTACAGCGATGAAGGAAAGATGACTGTGCAGTAAACCTTCCCTTTAGCTTCGGTGTTGGCAGACAGTGGACTCCTGAATGTTAAGTCTAAGTCCCATCTTCTCATGCACCTCAGTAAATGTATTTGCATTTACAGTAGGTGTTGATATGTTTCTGAGAAGGCCCATGGTGCAGCATCATACTGATGTTTGGTGACAAAAGTGAGGGTGGTTTTAGTTTTGGACTGGACTTGAAGTTTGAGTAATTTGCTGTGTATTCAGCAAGTCATCTGAACCCCCCAGGAGGGAGCTTTTATGCAATCCAATGAGCATGCTGCTCAGAAATATTGGATACTAGCTTGGGGAGGTGAGAAACCCTTGTTTAACTCCTGTCTGGATTTCAAAAGGCTCTTTAATTAATCCTGAATGAGTAGTTGAGGACCACTGCACGTATATTATCATGAGGAGCACCATTCATCAGGAGGATCTTTTTGAGTGCCTCACCATTCAGAGTCAAAAACCCTTTTGCGAAAATAAAGAAGCAGCAGAAGGGTTGGTCTCTTTTTCTACATTTTTCCTGTAACTGAAAGACTTCAAAAATCCTGTTGGCTGTGCTTCCCGAGTGTCTGAACCCACATGGGGATTCTGAGAGAACCTCTTCATCTAGAGGAATTAGACGGACCGGGAGGAATTTTATGCTGATTTCGCCTGGAATGTACAGCAGATCCCTGAGTAGTTTCTTCAGTTGAATTTTCCCCTTTCTTGAAGACTGACATAGCTTTGACATAATTGAAAACCTTATCATCCATCCATCTTCTAATGACTTCATCTATTTCAGTGGCACAGAAACCCAGACCTATCCCATCAAGCAACAGATGCAAGGCAGGATACTCCCTGGATGGGACAGCAGTCTATCACATGGTACATACAGACACAAACACAGATACTAGGGCCAAGTTTCCCAGAAAATAAGTAACCTACCTGGATGTCTTTGGACTGTGGGAGGAAACCGGAACACCTGGAGGAAACCCCTGTGAACACATGGAGAACATACAAACTCCATACAGATAGCACCTCAGGTCTGGAATTGAACCAAAGGCCCCAACACAACAATGCTAACCCCTGCATGCAGGCAGCACTCAGAATGACCGTTTTTATTCAAATGTTGTTGATGGTCTTGCTTCATCTGATCCTTTCAGGGGTTCTCTTCAGGTGCAATGGCCAAGTAAAGTTATCACCTTGTAGGTTTTTTCTTTGTAAGTGCCAGGGTGTTGGAATGCACATGGACACACTGGCTCACGCCAGGCTTGGAAGCTTGCAGCTGTTGGAAAGGACTAATTACTGAGCAGTGCTGATTACAGAGCAGAGACCTGCGCTGGCACAGCCCTGATACTGCACTATCAGGGGTGGCTGGTTGCTGAGCGTTGGGCAGTTAAAGTAAAGATTTTACCTGCACATTGAAATACATCTCACACTTCCCTGTATTGTATAAAAGCAGAATTGCATTGTTGCTAACTTTTCACGTAGATATTTACAAGTGAAAGACTTAATATCCAAATCCACACATGTCATCATGTACTGACACCTGTGCGGCAGTACAGAATCTAGTTCTAACATTGCAGAAATCACTTCCAGCATTACATGTCTCCTCAATGTGAGAGTCTGTTATTCTTCCAGGCATCACCTCTGTGTCAGATTTAGTATTCTGGGAATTTTGCACTATCTTCTACAGTGGGACACACTGCACGTCAGTGTTTTTTTCTGAGCACAAATGAAGAACAGAGTGGGAAAGCTGGGACTATCAGACTAGCTCTCCCCTGTGTCCCCCTCAAGGAATATAGCAGGGTTGGGCAAGCCTGGTGGTGGACACCCATGGCTACAGTATGTCATCTGCTGGCGAGGACAAGACAGCTGTTTTTTTATTGTGTCTCCTCAAACCGCTGATTTAACCGGTTCTGGCTGAGGCACAGATCCTACTGTAAGTGATTCTACACCAGCAGGTCACCCGAGCTGGATAAAATAGTTTTTCAATTGACAAATGAGTATAAACCTCTTTTCAGGTTTTTAAATCATTGAGAAGCATCTAAATCAGAACATAACTTTCACCAATTAAGCTCAAAAACGTTATTATGTTAAATGCGTGAATGATACAAGAACCCGGTGACCACTTTCATGCCCGGTAAATCTTTTTTTCCCTACGTTTTCGTCAGCAGCGTGTCCAAATACTCTCGTATGCTGACCTCTAGCGGTTCGAGTTGAAATAACTTTCCAACTGCCTACGTACAGTACCTAACAGAAATGTTGACAAAATTATTTTAGCAAAGTTCACACCCGTTGCTTAAAATTGTCCAAAGGTGTTTTTACTTGTGGTGCTTTTTTATTTTGAATCTCTGCATTTTGTACCCACGTTTATTGATTAAAAAAAGTAAACAAATACATGTAATAGTTTTTAATACTTTATGGAAATCTAAACCCAATAACAGTGTAAAGGCCTGTGCTGTAGTTTTATACTACTGACAGGCTAACATGTCATTTACAAACTTTCAAAGATAATTTTACATACCATACAAAACTGCACTGTTTAGTTGAAATTCCAACATGGATGGCTATAAATTAGTTGAAATTCAATTCAGGAGGTCATTCAGCCCATCTAGCCTGTTTGATAGCTGGTAATTAACTGATCCAAGTAACTAACGAATCTAGGATCTCATTCTACATTGAGGCTGCTGGCTTTGACAACATGGCTGGATTGCTTGTTCCACACTCCCACAACCCTTTGATGTAGTTTCCACTTGTGTCCTCCGGTTTATGTTTCACTGTTCATTCTGAAGAAATCTGCTGGCCTGACTTTGTCAGGGCTTTTGAAGATTTTCAATCACTATATCAGGGCCCCTCGCAGTCCTCTCTGTTCAAGACTAAAGAGATTCTGTTCCTCCTGGTCTTGTCAAGTGTAGGAATTTCCTTAAAGCCCCAGAATGTACAGTATCTGGATGCTCAGCTCTGACTGATTCTGGATCTGCAGTATTATATCTATAATGAGAAGACCACAATTGCACAATTGCCTTATTTATGTCATACGTTTTTAACACAACATCCTTTGAAATTCAGAATTCAACGCACCTCCTCACTGTGCACCTCCTCTTGGCCACCACGTATCTATCGTCCTGTGTGTTGGTCGTTCTGTCCTTCCAGTTGTATGTTGATGTGCTTTATTGTACTGCTATCATTTTTTCTTATTAACTGGTTTGAAACGTGTGTGTGCACATTGTGTGAAAGTGCTTTTTATTGTACTGTGCAAGAGAACATCTTGAACATCTTGAACAAGAATCCCAATGTACAATGTACATATGACAAATTATGCTCTCTCTCTCTCTAACATTCTACATTTTTAATTCTTCATTATATCTATAAATTCTAATTTTTGTCTGCTTATTGCTTCCCCACATTGTCTAGAATGTGTGCCAACATAAACACTGGAGTCTTTTTTAATACATTTCCCATTTTGTACTTATAGTTTATGTTTTGCTACCTGCTTGCAAAACCTGCTTTTGTCTACTTTAAACATCATCTGCCAGGCGTTACTCCACTCTTGAATTGTATCTAAATATATTTGAATGTCTTTAATTGCTTCTGCTGTGCTTGCTAAACCTCCTAATTTGATTTGCAAATAGGATTTGTTTATTAACTATACTGGAATCTATATACAGTATACAGTATATCAAACAATTAACAAATTTTAAATATTTACACCCCCATATACATCATGAGGACTTTTATCAAAAGAAAATCTAAATATGCCATATCACATGCTCTGTCTTAAGTTAGGCAAGACCCAACTTTTCTCAGTTCATGTTAACTGTTTACATTACCTTAGATTAATAGAAGTCAAATTTAGAAAGATATTGATTCCGTTTTCTCAGCCTTCTTATGGATGAGCACTACATTAGCAGTGTTCTGTCCATGGCTATCACCCCTGTCTTTAGCGTCTGTAGCCTTAATGTCTCGTGAGTAACGTCTCTAGATTCCTTGAGAACAATTGTTAGTTTGTTAATCATCAGGCCCTGTCAGGAATACTTTATATCCTGAGTGTTTTTTGTGCCCAGAATATGTTTGCCTCTTCTGATCTTTTATTATTTAATACAGAAGCTTGTCTTTTGGCTGCCTAAGGTATATTGTTGACTTTATTCTTTAGTGGGCCCCTCAGTGAAACACATTTAAGACATCAGCCATTTTCTTTGTATTGTAGATGTTTCCATTTTTGGTCCAAATATATCTTACTTCACCCTTGACAGTTGTTTTGCTGTTGTAGCAATGGAAGGAAATGTTTATATTTTAATTTTAGCTTCCACTGCAATATTCATTTCAATTCCTTTCTTGGCCTTCCTTTTGTGTGCTTGCAATTTATTGTACTCCTTTTCATTTTATAAGACTCTTTCTTTTCTCTTACATTTTTTGAACTATTTGAGACACATTTTGTAGCTTGGTTTACCCACTTTTGGGATAAATTTGTTCTGTGCTTCAAATCAGTTTATACTGTAGCCAACTGTTTCCCAGTGATTTCATTACCTGTCCTATCTCCTGTTTATCTCTCTTTATCCCTGTCACAGTTCCAAAATATAGTTCAAAGTACACCATATCATGATCAGAGGTCCCATATGGTTCTCTCAACCTGTTTGCTTCTGTCTGTCGTTACCAGATATGTACAAGCATTGTCCTCTGTAGGTGTTTTGTCAAGCTGATTAAGAAACATCATTAAACATGTGCACAATTCAATTTCTGCTGCTGACATGCCTATAGTTCTTTTTCCTATAGTCTGTCCTATATATCCGTAAAAAAACGACTTCATCTTTTGCACTAAAATTCCTCATTTGTTTATAGAGTGTCAAACTGCAATCAACATCTGCTTTTGGCAGCCTATAGCAAACTCCTTTGGAATGATTTTTAGAAGTCTGACCCACACGATTCAGAGACTCTTGTTTCCACTGGCTTAAATTTCTGAGCCTGAGCAGTCTTTTCGAAATATATAAATCTACACCTTGTGCTCTCTTCTCTTTCCTGGAATAGAGTGTATCGGATGATACTGCATTCTCCTCCATCATTCTCTCTCTCTTTCCTAGCATTAATCCCGCATCAGCAGGGTCCGCTTGTCGGCACGCCCATCTCCATTTGGGTTTGAACCAAGTCTTTGAGCTGACGTTGCCATTAACTGCGACCAAGAATACTCCAACCGGTGCGTCGCTCTGCCTGCCGTCGGAGTGGGGGGGGGGGAGGAGAACAAAGTAATGTAGCCAATTCATAGAGGGGGATTATTAGGAGGCATGGGAAATTTGGCCAAGACGCCGGGGTTACACCCCTACTCTTTTCGAGAAACACCCTGGGATTTTTAATGACCACAGAGAGTCAGGACCTCAGTTTTACGTCTCATCTGAAGGACGGCGCTTATTTACAGTATAGTGTCCCTGTCACTATACTGGGGCATTAGGACACACCTGGACTGCAGGGTGAACAACCCCTGGTGGCCCCACTAACACCTCTTCCAGCAGCAACCTTAGTTTTTCCCAGGAGGTCTCCCATCCAGGTACTGACCAGGCTCACACCTGATTAGCTTCAGTGGGTTGCCAGTTGTGAGTTGCAAGGTGATATGGCTGCTGGCCCTCCTCCATCACTCTCAGTTAGCCATATTTCTGTGTTTTCAATTACATCGTGATTACCTGCTAATGCGGCAGCTTGTGTTTCATCTAGTTTGTTTCTAACACTAAGCATCAGAGCATTTAGATGTTAAGCATAACAGAAAGCATTCTAAGTACTCGGGTAGAAGTACTGTATGACTTGGTTCTTTGTTCAGTTCTCCCTTTGGTTCTCCTTAGGTCTTTGATCTCCGTGTACCTTCCTAATGGACTTTCATTGGCTCCACCCCCCTGCTTCTAGTTTAAATGTTGCTGGATTTCATTGGGAATGCTTGTACCGCAACAGCTAGGGCCCTTGTCATTTAGATGAAATCTTCTACATCTGTCCTAATGGTCCTTTTCCATGGAAAACTTTCCAGTGGCCCACAAAGCTGAAGCCTTTGTCTTACACAACATGCCCGTTTAGATGAGCTACTTATTCTTATGCTACAGTAGGCTCCCTGAAATCTCCAGCACTTTTGTTGTTACAGAAATTCCTTGGAACAGTTATTTGCTTTTCTACTCCCTGGATTATGTATTTTACTTCCATCAGATAGATTTTTTATTCAACTGGTTTTAATCGATGCAGATTGTTGTTTGTACGTGTTTGATTGCTCTTTTTATATCTCTGCATTGCGTGTAATCTTGACTAAATTGCGATAAATATAGACTTCGTTCGCTATTCCGTACAACATGGCGCCCCCTATGCACGAGCGGCAGCATTCTCCCGGTCCTTACGGCAGACGCCACTTCCCGTTGTATAAATATGCGCTGTGCGCATGCTCCTTCCTTTCCGGCTCCGATCTCATAGCAAGCTGCAGAGGTAGGCGACTGATCTCGCTGGATTATCTGCCTTATATCTTCACCATCGTAACGAAATCATCATTTGTAGTGTCGTTGAAGCCCCCTGTTGCCTTTCACAGATGTGTCTATTTGATTATTTCTCAGAAAATGCCTTCATGTTTCCAGATGGTTGTTAAAACGCTCGGGTGATGTCGGTGTCCAGGCAGTAGGCCTCTCTCATGCACAGTAGGTTGAATGTTGAAAAGAAAAAGGTCATAAATGGTCAATTGCCGTAGCGATTTGATACCCGGTGCGTGAAATAGTAGAGCTTTTCTGTGCAAGGAGCGGGGGGTTTAGTAATCACTGCATCAGAACTAATATTCAGGTTACGTTCTGTGGCCCGATTGGCTTTCTCAAAGCTTAAACTGCTGTTGTTGGATGCTGGTCCTGGAAGAACCCGTGATTGATCGTGTTAAAAGCCTCAGAAATGCCATACGGTTTCCTTACCTACTCGGGAGTTGATTAAAATTCGCCTATTGCTTACACATTACACATTGGGAGTGTTTTGTAGCTTTACTCTTCTAGATCATAAACCTAGGCCTGCACAGGCGTGTTGAACTGCTTGTTGGGAATCCATTTCAGTGTTGATGTAGCCTCTTCTGTTTCTTCTGTACTTATGGAGGGAGTTCTTGGAGAATGCATAAGGTCTTTCCACGCAGCAGGAGATGCTGAAGCCTTTGGCGAAAACCGGTCACTTTTGCGATAGTTTTCGCTTTGTTAGACAAGTGTTTTAATTGTCACTTTAACACTGATCACTTTGTCACACATTCGGCGAAACGGTTGCAGGGTAAATGGGTCGTAAAATACGTGAGAGCTCTTAAATCCGTTACCATTGCAAACTGGCTTGAAGTGAGCTCACTGCGGTAAAGTCACCGGCCTGTGCTCTTCTGTGCCCTGCAGATGTTGATGCCCAAGAAGAACCGCATTGCCATCTACGAGCTCCTCTTCAAGGAGGGCGTTATGGTGGCCAAGAAGGACGTGCACTTGGCCAAGCACCCCGAGCTGGCTGACAAGAACGTGCCCAACCTCCACGTCATGAAGGCCATGCAGGTGAGGCTGGCCTCCGGGCGACTGTGCTGAGGACATGGTCCTCTGGTTTTAAACGGGCCTCTGTTATAGGAGCATGGTGTGAGGTCCTGCTGGTGTTCAGGCAGGCAGGGCCTGGTTGGTGAAATGTAGTAAGTCTGGTTGCATGTGTTTGCAGTCATTTATATGGGTGCTGTAGAGGTAGCACATTGGATTACAGTTAATGGATTTATGTGAAGAGGAAGCACGTCTTTACACAAAGGGTGGTGGGAGTATGGAACAAATAGCCCAGCCATGTTGAAGCTGAAACTCTGGCTTCATTGAAGAAGTGCCTGGATGAGATCTGCATCCAGCCAGCTACCGAATGGGCTGCATTTGTAGACGGCCTCTTGTTGGTAATATTTTTGTAGTTGCGGCTCTGTGCCTTTGGGTTTGTATTGTCCGTTGAAATTACACTGTGAAAAATGCTTTTGAATCTGATGATTGAATTTCTTAATTGGGATGTTTGAGTCGCAAAAATTGTTTAAATTGGGGAGTGTCCATCCTTGTTCTCAAAGAGCCCTGATCCAATTAGTCTTGGGTCATCTGTTTCTAAAGATGGGGGAATCTAGCGAAGAATCAAGCAGGTAATTGTTCACAAAGAGAACTGTGGCCCTTGTTCTGGAGATTCAATGGTGACTTAGGACTGGGGCTCTGCAGAACCAGGGTTGCAGCTGCCTTTTTCTACACGCAGTTCAGTAGGAGATAAAGGGGATGTAGGGAAGTTGTTGATTCTAGTTTAGATATTTTGTTATGCAGTCGGTAAAAAAAAAATAAACATGAAATCTGCATCTGAAGAAGTCCTTTGGCTCCCTTGCCAGATTAAGATTTCTTCCGTGAAACAAGAGGTTGATTGATCTATAGAGTCCTTGAGAGGCTTTGGTCCCCAGTGCTGCTCGGTACTGCTGTTCTGACCCTCATCTTTGAGTGGCTGAATAATTGTGGTGGGGATATCCGTACAGGCAGCTGAGCCTCACTCAGGCTTAAGTAGAGTCATAGTTTTTAGCCGTGGTGTCATACAGTTTTAATTAGGAAAAGTGACCTATTACACTGAAGTGCCCACTTCTTAGTTCTCTCTGTCCCCCCCCCCCCCCCCCCCCCCCCCAATGCAGTCGCTGAAATCCTGCGGGTATGTGAAGGAGCAGTTTGCCTGGCGCCACTTCTACTGGTACCTGACCAATGAGGGGATCCAGTACCTGAGGGACTTCCTGCACCTGCCACCCGAAATTGTTCCTGCCACCCTGCGCCGCCAGACGCGCCCTGAGACCGCCAGGCCGCGCCCCAAAGGTAGGCATTGTTGTCTCGGAATGGGGCATTAGCTCCTGGGAGGGCAGGAGGTTGCTTTGCAAAGGAGGCCTTACCCAGGACTTTGGACCACTCTTAAAACCAAACACCTAGAGGCCTGGTGAGTTTGTATTACTCTGTCTACTGCCAAGGCAAATTGATGTCAGGCACATTTAGGAGTGGGACATCTTTACGATCTCGGACGTTTGGGGGATTTCTGCTGCTCTGTATGTGTTGGACTTGTTCAAATACATGCCAGTTCTGCCTAATGGACCTGACGCCTCCAGTACAGATCACACTTGCAGCCTCCCAGTTGGTCCAACCAGTAAAGATGCTCGTTACCGGGAAGGTTGAACTCTGGAAGCAGGGGGTTTGAGGCTGGGTCATTATTAGATTTAAGAAACAGTTAAGCCGGGGGTGGGTTTGGATGGTTTGAATTGTATAACAGTGTAGTTCGTAGATAGTAGTTTGTATTTTTAAGATTGGGGAATTCAAATAAGATTACATGTATGGTGAAATAGCTGTAGGATGAGAAGTAAAATAGTCAAAGCTGCAGAAATGTCTTTTGTGAGTCTTAAAATTTTACCTTTGTTGCCTGGATGGGGAATGATGCCTTGAGGCTGAAAGTGCTGAGGAGTCGTGTTCTCTCCTGGCAGGTCTGGAAGGGGAGAGGCCCGCTCGCCTGGCCCGTGGGGAGGCTGACAGGGACACGTACAGGCGCTCGGCAGCACCCCGTGAGTACTGGGCTGATAGCTGGACTGGCCTTCACCTTGCACGCCTTTGTTAAAGTCTTTAGGTTTGGTTTAAGCAAGAGGCTGGTTGCTCACTGATGCAGCCCATCCGGATTAAGTGGCCAGTTCCAAGATGGGACCCCAGTTAAAAGTTCTATAATTGGGGTCGCATCCTTTAAAAAAGGACCACCTGGGTGAGGTACAGCAAGACTGGCCAGATCGGAAGTGGGCAGCACAGTGTGGGTATGGCTTAGCGCTCACAGCTTCCGATTCTCGGCTGGAGGGAGAGAAAACTGCAAAGGACATGAAATGGTTTTGTTTATAGTGCAGTCTTCGGGAAACCCCACTGTTTCGCTTGAAACATTCATTTGAAAAGGAATACCTGCAAATTACAGGTCAAGTAACTACCTGTGTAACTCTGGCTCTTGAGGGCTGAAGAGTCATCAGAATTAGATCCCAGATGATCTCTGAATTACTTTAACAAATTTCCTAAATTGATCATCATAAAATTGTTCTGAGTCTTCAGTGATTTAATTAATGGTGACCTATATACCCTGCTGGACTGGGGCTCCCTGGAACTAAGGTTGGACAGCCCTGCTCTACAGATTTCATAACCTGGGTTCTTGGCCCCCAAAGGCTCCATCTAGGGTCAAATAACTGGGTTCACTTAAACATGAGCACCTTTATAACTTTGGGCAAGTGCTTCCAGTGCTTTTTTCCAAAACTGGAAGATTAGGGTAGAATAAAGACATCTGGGTAAATGTCTTTGTCATATAAAGTTTTAGCAGATTATTCGGTCAGATGCATGACTTAAAAGCATTCAGAAAAAGTCTGCTGGTTTAACTAGACTTGAACTGGTAGGCGTGAACTTGGCTGGTAAATAAAATGCCAGATTTTTCTTATGTAATGAGGGTATGTATTGCCCATTACTATTTCATTTACATGAAGAATACACATAATTATTCTTTGGAATGTAATGCAGTTTTTTGAAGCTCTACTATGTATTTACTTGGTGAAATAGTCCTTTATTGACAAACTGGATATCTTTAGCAAAGTGAATGTATATGTACATTTAACTGAACTGTTGTTTATTAAGCATAGTTTCTAATTAATATACAAAATGACCAAATTGTTTATCTTTAAAACCAGTTTAAATGCATTACAAGGATTAAATCCTTTATTGTCACTTCCCTGTTCTAGTACACTTGGATTTAGTAGCCGATTTGCAAAATTAATTGCACATGGAAAAAAACTAAACTTTACGAACACGTTAAACTGGGAGAAGTAAAACCCATGAATACCCAATTTCTTAATCATCTTGATCTGAATCCCAGACACGTGCATGTTTCAAGAACAGTCACAGTTCCAGTTTTCATGTTTTACCCAAATGCAGAAATAAGCAAAAGAAAGAAGACTTTGTTTAAAATGTGAAAATCTGAATCATTATCTACGAATGGAAGATCTGGTGTCAGTATTGTCCCCTGAAACCTGACTTGTTTCCACCTGCAGCTGGTGCTGACAAGAAGGCAGAGGCTGGTGCTGGAGCAGCTACAGAATTCCAGTTTGTAAGTGTGCTTAATCTTCTTCTGTCAGCACGGCACGGGAGTCCGGGTCAGATTGGGCTTTTTCTTTCACTGTAGTTCTGAGAAATACAGGGGGCAGGGAGGGAATGTGGTTGCTTTTTTCTACAACAGGGAGGGCAAGCTTCACCAGTCTTAAGCACTGGTGAAGCTGTTCATGGTTTGCAGTCCTTGGCTACATCTGGAGCCAGGTGTTGTGTGTCCTTTGCCTAAGGTGCTGTTGCTGAGGATGTGACTAATTGCCTTTTTCCTCCTACTTGCAGAGAGGTGGATTCGGCCGTGGACGAGGACAGGCCCCTCAGTAATTGCGCACTCATTTTCTGTACAATAAAGTTTTGAAAAACTCAGCTCTTTGTGGTTCACGTATTTTTTTTTTATACATGGGGCGGAGCCCACTGTGGTTAAGGATCTGCGCCTGTGGCTGGAAAGTTGCTGGTTCAAATCCCGCGGCTGGCAGAGGAATCCTACTCCGTAGGGCCCCTGAGCGAGGCTCTTAACCCCAACTGCTCCAGGGGTGCTGTACAATGGCTGACCCTGCGCTCTGACCCCAAGCTTCTCTCCTTGTCTGTGTGTCTGTGTCTCATGGAGAGCGAGCTAGGGTATTCAAAAAGGCTAATTCCTAATGCAAGAAATTGTATATGGCTAATAAAGTGAAGATTAAGATTATGGCTCTGCCTTTCCTCTATGAACCTGAGTTTATCGATATTTAAAAATGCTTGTTTGATTTGGAAGGCAGTTGTGGGGAGACCTAGTGTAGAATGTGTGGTGTACTGCGTTGCTTGTTATGAAAATTCACTGTCTACAAGACATCAGGAATTGCGTAAATACCATTTTCTAAATCGGAGTGCCATCAATTTACTTGGCTGATATAAAGTAATGGGAAATGTTTTTTGAAGTCACAAATACCGACTAGTAATTCCTCTCCAGACCTGATGGTTGCAGCAGTTCCAGCCTGTGTACAGAAACCAGGATGAAGCAGTACTGGGTAATGGTTGTATAGAGCCATCCTTCCGAGTGAGCATTGAGCCTTTCCTATATTGTTGCTTGTTTTGTAATGGGGTAGTTGGGAGGTGTGTAGGGTAACGTCTCATGTTCTCCCCATGATGAGTGTTTTGAGATAGAGGAGCAGTTGGGCAGACAGTGGTGTTGGTGGGTAAGTAGGTGGGGCTCTTTGTTTTAGACCAGAAGTTCCAAATTCCTAGTATAGGGGCATTGTACAGCAGGAGGGTGCTGTCCTTAAGATGAGACCTTAACTACTTTGTTGTGAGAGTGCCTGGTATTGGCTTTAAGAATGAGTGTTGACCCCAGTTAAACTCCACTCTGTCCTTGCTTTTCGACCAGCACTGCACTGGTGAAGGTAGTGGGTGCTGTCTTCTGTGCTAGGGATGAGCAGCACCATCCAAATGCAAGCAAAGTTGGAGAGAACACACAGGATGTAGAGGAAAGGGGTACAGTGCTGCAGTGCTCTTAAAGCAAGTACTGTGAGATGTGCCCTTCTTGGCTGTTGGCTTGAGAGATTGCAATCCAGTTATTTTAAGAAATGTACTAAAACTGTTCAGTTCTTTCTCCTGTACCCCCATCCTGAAAGCACAGTTCTAACAGCAGGAGCACTGTGTCAGAGCTCTCCACTTGTTGAACACTGATGTGTTGTTGTACACTGATGAATGAGGAGTGTGGAGTAGGAATGACCAAAATTGAGTACAGCTTGAGAATTCGGTAGTGAAACCAGTTGCATCTTACTGCCACTTCTGTCCCAGAACTGTAGTTCCTTTTGTTCACCAGCAGATGGAGCAGGGCTACCACTACATATGTAGGAGATGAATAAAGAGACACTTAAAATAATAATTGATTACACTTATATAGTGCTTTTCTGGACACTCCACTCAAAATGCTTTACAGGTAATGGGGACTCCCCTCCACCACCACCAATGTGCAGCATCCACTCAGATGATGCAATGGCAGCCATAATGCACCACAACGCTCACCACACATCAGCTATCATCATCAGTGGGGAGGAGAGCAGAGTAATGAAGCCAATTCATAGACGGGGATTATAAGGAGGCCATGATTGGTAAGGACCAATAGGAAATTTGGCCAGGACACCAGAGTTACACCCCTACTCTTTTCGTGAAACATCCTGGGATTTTTAATGATCACAGAGAGTCAGGACCTCGGTTTTACGTCTCATCCAAAGGACAGCGCCTGTTTACAGTATAGTAAAGTATTGTAAGTAGTATAGCCCCTGCTGGGGCCAGCAGGGGGTATTCACCCTGCAGTCCATGTGGGTCCTAATGCCCCAGTATAGTGCCCCAAGTGTGCTAGATGGGCCAAATGCCCCCTTGTTGGTAACTTTATGGGAATTATTTATCTTTTAACATGTAATCAATTGTTTACTTGAAATACATCAGATGTGAGGAAAAAGTAGGTTATAGCAAAGACAAGTTAAGGTTTTTCCTTAGCTTGTCCATCCTACCACACCATTAAACACACAAGGCATTACATGTCATAAAATATTTGTTTTTACCCCACTCATTTGAAGTACACCTTATCGATCTTGTTTACACCATTTAATTAGTGATATAAGAGTAACCCTGACTCCCTTTATGAAGACAAGTCAGAAATTGTGGCAAACCTTAAACACCTTGTTAGGCAATAAAGGTTAGCACTTTTCCTAGCATTCATGTCAAAGGAAAACACTGAAAGTGGATGGAGTGCAGATCTAACTGAAATACTTCTCTTCAGTAACTACTCCATATCTTAAGTGTAGTCTATGCCAGTGGTTCTCAACCTAGGTCTTGGAGGAACAGTACCTTCTGCTTGTCATTCCAACTGATCTCTAAATCTGCAGAGCTAATTTATAACTTAACTGATCCGTTTGCTTGTAGAGTTTTCATGTATATGCACAGTCCAAGTATCAAAAAAGCTCTACTTCAAGAATACCGATTCCAAAAAATTTCAGAACTTTACACATTTCCTCAACTTCCTGTAATTTCTGGCTAAACAGGTCTTTGTAGCTGATCAGCTGATGAACAGGAAAGCAGTAGAGACACTGCATGTGAAATTCCGCACGCTGAACCTTTTTTCTTTTTGCAAAGGATCAGTTGGTTATATTTCAGTTTTGAAACTCGAGTGCTATCAATTAAAAATCCCATTTGGGCTTTTAAAGAGTTTAAAGCAAGTTTGCAAATACACCCCAAACAGTAAACTGAAATCAATCATAATTCAGAAAACCATGTTCCTCCAAGACCAGGACCACTCTTACTATGAAATGGTAACTTTGGATTCTGCTTTTAAAAGTTGCCGGACCTCCAAGGGCCAAATATCAAACATAATATCAAAAGCCAAGGTTTAGATCTAGTGGACTTGAATGCTCTTTAAGAACATAAGAAACAATAGAAATGAGAGAGGTCTATGTGGGCCATCTTGCTTTCTAATAACACAGTTCTTAAATAAACCAAAGATCTTAACCATCATTTTCTTGCAAAATATGATTATATCAGCTTTAACAACCTGGCAACAACACCCTTTCCTGACACCCACCACCCTTTGTGTAAAGTAGGACTTCCTACTCTCTTGCATATGGATTACCTCTATTTTCACTTGTGTCTACAAATCCATGCTTTTCTGTTAGGATTCGAAGAAGTCACCTGAATTAATTTGATCAGTGCCTTTTATGATTTTCATATACTCCTACGCTCTGGTGTACCAGCATACTGAAACACTAAAGTCATTAGCAGACATTTCCCTGGACCCCATTTTCAGGTGAATCAAATCCACAATCCTGATTCCCCACATAAAAAGACAAGACTCTATTCATGAATACTGGTGTTTATTTGTTGGCACATTAATATTACAATCTTCAGTCTCCTCACGTACTTCTAAATTCCATAATCCCCAATTCAAAATAAAATAAAAGGAAAAAAAAAATTCCAGTGATGTACTTCTCGTAGGAATTGTGAAAAGTCACAGTTACCATGTAGGGGGTAGTGCAAACTGGGAGGCTGGGGATTATCTTACTTTATTCACTGTGAATGGCAAACAAATAGAATATACCTCGCTTTTTTAATCCAATATCAATATGAATCCCACCGCATCTGCTTTGAAGAGACATAAGCAGCACAAGGGAGGCGCCTTGGGTGCACACTTTTATGCAAATACATCTTAATCATTTACGTATGCAGAACAATACTTCCTTCACCCCAAAGGCTACTTTTCAAGGGACAACGGCACTTGTTGCAAAATTGGGGGAATCTGCCTTACAAGAAACGTAATGGTGCTAAAAGCGATCGATTTCATGACAAAACAGGTCGTCGAGGTTTTATTTTCATAATAATAATAATAATTTTATTTTCTGCACTGTGGTCAACAGAGAGTACCGATAAATGGGTTACAAATGGTCATGCTGATTGTAATGAGACATCTGTTCCACAGTTTACGCCTTACAGTACCAATATTGTAGTGCAGCAGATGGAACAGAGGCTAAGTTAACTCGATCTTTGGGCTACAGATCTCTCTCACTCACACGGCCTTCCAGAGCTGAAAGACTGCATGTGCTCTTGAAAGCGTACCTTTGTGTTGGTTCTGGGTAGGAAGATGAACTCAAATAGGAAGTATGCAAGTTCATTTTATTTTGAGATGAGCCTTCATCACACCCCATTTTTGATTCCCCCAACTTTGTACAAGTGGATGGCAGTTATTTAAAAAAAAAACGAAAAATGAAAAAGAAAAGAAAAGCCGTTGTCTCGCCACTAAATGACTCACAGAGGGACAGCACCAGTACATCGTTGTTTGCTCTAACAGACAAATACAAATCTTATGAGCTCAGCAGCACACATTGGGCACAATCCATAAGAGAAGAAAGGGGTATCAGAAGTACAAGTGGTCATTCTTACTGAACTACAATTAAATGTTAGAAGTCTTTTTTGTCGTTTCAAACCTATCCAGCAAATGGGGCTTCAGATTCTATAATTAAATGAGTTACATGTTAAAAAGACAAAGAAAAAAAGTTACAGCTCCAGCATTAGATCGGCCAAAGTCCAGCACAAAGACCTGGATTCTATAACCATGCTTACCAAGGCAGAGTCAACCACCAAACAAAAAACACATTTGATGTTTGAACTATACAGTACAAATAGTTATACTATTCATTCTTTTCACAGCTGGATTAAGCCCTCCCCACAGGCAACTGAACAGTCATTACTGAAAAAGAAAACTCTTTGTGAGACACAAAACAAATCCCAGTGCCCAGCAGTTTAATCTACTTAAAGGAAGGCAGTGCTTAAACTAGGTGACATGATCCAGCTAATGTATCATTAACTTCACCACATTCATCTTTCCATTAACCACTCACGGAAAATGGATATTTTCTCAGTTAAGTTTCACTTGTGTAGGTCTGTACAGTACAGAGCTACTACAGACCTGGGGTTTGTGGTGTTGTGCCTGCCTCAGTGTCTTCTTGGTTTATACAAAAGAAGGTTTGTGTCCAATAGGTTACCAAAGCTCATTCCATGTCATATAGAAGTCACTATATAGTAAAGATCCCTCCGCATGTGGCCTTACTCAGGGCTTCTGAGTGATCATGATGTCAGACACGTATGCCATCAGGTCCTTCGCTAAACTCTTCAGCTTCAGCCCTTAAACATGCGAGAGGCTCTTTTATTGATCACCGCCTTCTCCCTGACCAGGCACATGGACTATAGCACAATGGGTCATATGTTAACCTCACATGATATGGAGCACTGCTCCACAAAACAACTGTCCATCACTACCTCTTCTTCGTTTGGCATTTGAATTAAATGAACCTAATGGCACCAACAGTACGATGGGAAAGGCATAATGTCTGCCATGGAGCAACGTACAGCTTCCTTCTGTCTTCAGTGCATACAGTTTCTGAGCTGCTAATGGGGCTAGTGAACCTACACAACAGTCCACACACGGACTATAAGGTTTGTCCAAAAACTCTCAAATTCATTAATAAACAGGGGGGAGAATGGTTCTATCAAAAACTTAAAATATCCTGCTGCAAAAGGTTCAGCGATTACTTCTACTTCTGCTTCTGCTTGGATAAATCTGCAGCAAACCTACCAAGTGATCCTGCATGCAAACCATTAAATCCACCCTCCCCCGCCCAGAAAAAAACAAGTAAGCCCTGTACCCAGCAATGCACACTTGACCTTCCTTCGAATTCAACAGCCACTGGAAAGGTGGCTTTCCAATGTGGGTCCCTATAGTGGGGGAGTGTACAAGTACAAGCTTGGACTGGCCTTGGAGACAAACGGGGCAAGATGTGCAGCACTATGCCAACGCACTACGCCGACTAAACCGGGACAATGCCACTCCAGAAAGCCCTTCACAATATTAAAACAACAATCAGCACTTGCCTTAATTTGGCTTGGTTTATTCACAGGTATTATGCTGTCGTATTAAAAAAAATAATTAAACAGTTTGAATTAAACCGAATCTCGTCTGGCCTCCGTTCACATGCCTATTGACAAGAAAACGGGAGACATGAGCCCTGTGGAACTATATACCGTATATTCTCAAAACCAAACCGAGTTCCTTCATAATACACCCAGCATGAAGACAGCCATAATATTGCACCAACACGTGTTTGGGCCTGAAAAACAATATTACCTAAATTTGCAGAATGATTCAGAATGGCTATAAAAATATTAGAAAAGCAGTTCTAGTAGCCTAACATTTACACCAAAGATAACTGCTCCATTTCTCTTCTTTCCCCCTCGTTTCCAAAAAGCAAATTACAATCACAACCAGCAGAAAGTGTGCTGTGCACAAACGTTATCTCCAGTGCACACGATGTGACAGCAAGAGGAGATCTGAGGGAAACGCATCTGGGCTGTGAAGAAAATGCATGCAAGTGAGGCTACCTATACCAGGGACAGAAGTATGTGAATGGGAACTCATGTACCCAAACTGATCATGAATTAATAACTTCATCCCCCACCCCCATCACAGCTGTAGTTAGGCTCTTCACCTAACCAGCTCTACAATGGAGCTAAATGAAGGTTTACTTTTAAAGCAAAAGCAAATCGGTCTGCTGCTTCCTAGTTAAAATGGAAAGGTCAGAGAGGAACAGTGGGCTTGGACTGCCAATCAAGATCAGGATAGCTGAAAAAGACGGGGATTAAGGTCAGAACAGGCATTCCCTCGATTACCTAAAAAGGGGAAGCAGACAGAAATAGGTTTGGATTTGGTTTTTTCTATTTTCGTGCCTTTCCAGCCAATAATATCCACAACAAAGCAGGCCTCGTTCAGAAAGAAATTACATTTCAGCAGTGATCAACTAGGACTGCCGAATTCCATGAAAGCAATCTACTTCTTTTCTGTCTTCCCAGACAGCACGGTCTTTTTCAGAAAAACAGCCCTTTTTCAGCACGGTCTGTAGTATGGGGTAGAGTATGCTGGTCATGCAGGGTACACGGGTTCTGCTCCACAAGTCTGAAGAACCAGGATGAGTAAAAACCAAACCAGGGCTTGGGGACACTCTTGATGCTCCGTTTTAATAAGCTCCCTTCACCCCACCCTCCGTCTTCTGTTTTTGTTACGCCTGTATAAGATTTGTCCACACAGTTTTGTGCTCTGCAGGTTTGCCACCTGCCATGGTAACCCTGTAGTATCAGATCTTACAGCAATAACTACGTCCTATCTAAAAGTACAATCTACCGATGTGTCAAACAATAAAAAAAAAGTATTACGTCTTTAACTTTTCATCTATACAGAACTAAACTGATAATTTACATTAAAACGTCTAGCTTCTTTTCCACGGCTGCTCCATTATTTTCACAGTATCGAGCCAATTGCTGCTTGCCCCTACCACAACAAAGGCAGATAATGCAATTTGGCTTAAATCGGTTTTGCCAGACGTTTTTGAAGAAAAGGAAAATCTTATGTTTAAAAAGCATTATTTTTTTACAGGTTAAAAAATAAGGTTTTGACTGTACAAGTTTTATTTGTTCCATATCTTGTTAGAAACATCTTTTTTTTATTAATGGTTTTGATGTCAAGCAAGTGATGAAGTTCTTGGAAGGGATGCAGTTTCAATATTCCAACAAGTAAGGAAACGCTAAACAAAATTTACAAGAACAGAAAAAAAAATAAAAAGAAACACTGTTAAGACCTAGAAAGTGCCTTCCAAAAAAAATCCTTATCTACAAAGTCCAGTGTTAATCTGAAGGGTAACATAAAACTTTATGAAGACGACAGTAAACATTTGTGAAAAAAGCAAATTAGCTGAAGGGAAAAGCACAAAAGATCCAACTTGGTCAGCGCTGGTATAAGCTAATGAAAGCCAGATGAACGGCTCAACCTCTTCCTTTTTTGTGGCGAAGAAGATACAGCTACATCCCCTTCCAAACCCAAATGATTTCAGGCAGGTCAGCCAAAATGCACAAAGACAGAACCTCAGTAACCATGCTTCTGCAACCAGCAAGGTGCAGCAGTCAGTGGCCAAAAGTAAATCTTATTGTGTGAATGGTCCTGTAATAGTGGACTGATATAAGGATAACTGACACTAACACATTACACGTTACAGTGATAGTGTGTATTAGGACAGAGACTTACTTGCAGTCTAATCGCTAGAAATTGTCTTTTGCAACAGAATTGTTTCAGAGGTTAAATGTGCTGACACTAATAGAACAAAACTAAGCTGACACACCTCCACTACTTTTCCAGTCTAGAATTGTAAGAAACTGAAAATGCCAGTCAATCATTCTAGCTCACCTGCTTAAAGACCCCAACAAGACTACTCCCCCACCAAATTTTGTTTCTTCAAATGTTTCCTCCATGAAGCTCTTGCCAGACACTGTTCCTCTGAGGCTTATGGGTCTTCTGGATCTATTGCAAAGCAAAGCACTCATATTAATAAAGAGGTCTTTTGTTCTAATTGGGGGTTATTTTTTTTCCTTAATGGCATCTTAACCCAATGCCATTACATATACTACAGGCCCTAAACTTTAAATTTAGTGCATCCTTAAATCATCAACCACATTAAAACCTATAACAATTATATTAGGTCACTACAGTGTCATATTGGAGCACAACTCATAAGGCAGAACTCTGGCCTTAGAAGACTTGACTTTGGCTCCCCTGTTGTTGTCCTGAGATATCCTGTCGAGTTTGGAGGGACTGAAACAAAACTGACTGAACAATATCACAGGCTCAGCCCACTCACCATAAATTCGCGCTGGAAACAATATTACAGCTACGTGAAGCACAGTCAGGCAAGCAGGATTTTAAACTCTAAAATGTAACCTGCTGAGTTTACAGATCAGATCAGACTCCTACCCAAACCTCCCCCAAAAATAGTGAAGCCAAAAACAATTCACTGTTTCAGATTAACTCACCCAAACTGTAAGACAACTAAAAGCCAAGGGGCTCAATAGTACATGCAAAACAAAGCCACTACTCACTCACCCATCCAATCAGACAATGAAACTACGTCATATCAGGGTTGGAATAAAAAAGAAAATTAAAAAGACCCTTGAAAGCCTTAACCTTAAGCACTATGTATATACTTTACATCACAACAGTAAAAAGTAGCTCTTGCATTCAATAAACCGCATGTTTAGGACAAGGAAAGGAACAGGGAGGGTGTTTCATGCAATTATCAATATAAAGAAAAAAAACTTTACATTTACAAAGTGTTTTATAACCATCGCTCAACTTTTGTCAAGTCTGTGCCAATCACTGCTGGCGTTAGAGGGTGGCAAGGCAAACCGTTTTTTTTTTGTTTAAAAAAAAATGAGGAACGAGTAAGAAAGAGAGAGAAATAAAGAGAAAGTTTCGGGGATATCCACGTTGTGCGTTAGTTATCTGATACCGGAGACTGAGCTCTGGTTGATGTTGAAGGTAGGAGAGAGGTCTCCGGCTATGGTGGCTACCACAGGCGTCCCGTTACTCGTCAGGCAGCCCTGCTGCAACGCTTCAAAGTAGGAGGCCTGCACGGGCTTATGACACTGCAGCACTTTTATGGCATCGTCTATTTTAAACCATTCCCTTTTTCTCCCTGTCAAGAGAAGAGGAGGCAAAGAGTCATCTTTAAATTAGTGTCCATTACTCAGGCTTCCTTTCAGCTGCTAGATCTTATTAACTGGCATCACATTGCAATAACAGACAACAAATACACTTCAATTAAGCTGCTTTCTCCGAGAATTCGCTAAACCATAGGTTTTCCAACTTGCGTGCTAAGACCAGTTTGTCCCCAGAACATTTCCCCAGGCACAAAAGTGCAGCGACAACATTCACTGGATCTGCTCCGAAAACGCTGCTTTTTAATTGTTTAGAATTAGCAGCACTATTGTGTACTAAAATTAGAGACTACAATCTAATTCTGCATTTGGATTGGGGAGCCTTCTTGAGTTTTGTTCAAAAGCCAAAAATGTTTAACTGTTTAAAATGTTAAAATACGACAATTGTGTGGGGCAGAGAGGTCTTATTCCATGCACATCTAACTTCTTATACTTGTTCCAAAGGTTATAGCATTTAGTATTTTTGCGATTTTTCAGTGTTTCTTTACACTTAAATCTCTGAAGCCACGAGTATGAGACTTACCAATATTGACAGAGTCCTCCCAGTCTTCCAGGACCTCTGTTACAATAAGAACATAGACATATGTTCTGTGCTTCCTGTCTCGATTCTAGAACGAATTAAAGAACAATTAACTGCTGCACAAAATACGTCAATATCTTGTTAGCCACACTTCCCTATTTATCAATCTATTTAACAGGTGAAGGTTCCAGTTCTCCCTCTAGCACTTAAACTGGTAATAATCTGTATCAGTATAAAGAAAGAGAGCTACATAATGAGTAATCGATGAGTATTAAGACAGCCCTGTCAAATCACCCTTCAGAGCCCCCAGAAGACCCAGACAGACCCAGTTGTTTCACTGTTCCATTATAAATACAGACTGTCAATACCTGTGAATACATAAAGCACTTTTTAAAGAAAAAAATGCTACTTTTTTTGTAGACATTCGACGATAAGCTTAGCGTGAAATTTCAATACATTCAAACTTTTGACTTTTAAAAAATGCTAAACATTTGATTTCAATTTGCTTTGTACTGATGATTTACAACAGACATCAGTATTAGTACTTAGCAGCCTGATCTCAATACTTCTCTAAATCTAAGTGAAATGGAGACTCATCAGTACTGGGATGGATAATGTACAGGGACAATGAGGTTGTTACTGTTATTGGTGCACCACTAGGTGGCACCTTTCCCTAGGGCCTAGACCAACATTTCTAAACCAAAGCCCCTTTATGGGGAACCATGGAAAGTGGTATCCATGTCAAGCCAAGGTACTGACTACTTGGTTAGTAAAAATCGAATGTTGCTGTTTGTCAGAACATGGGTTCTAATCCCAGGGATCTGGGATCCACTGGAATGAAAAGCACTATGGAAATAGCAAGGGATTATGACCTCTACCGCATTCTTGCTAGAAGAAATTTTGCAAAGAAGCCAAAAAAGTCATTATGGGCCTGGAAAGAACACTGAATTTTATTGACTGGTTGAGGCAGCGGCTGCTCTTGAATTGCTGTTTGTTATGGGTACAGGCATTAAAAACCAACAGTTATGTAATTGTGAAAGGCTCTGGACACCGTTCATTTGGAAATCAGCACTATGGTACTTAATTCTCTGCATTCCCTGTTCTTGGCTGAGCCCATATGGATGTAAGAAAGGAGCATCATGAATATCCAGAGCACGGAGACCTTTGGGTTGAGTCTGGGCTATGACATTTGCCATCTGCGGGTGGGAACTCCCCAAGCAGTTCATCGGCCTGGCCCTCCAAGAGCACCTGCACTCCCCCCCTGATTCAGTATCTGATGCACAAGATGAAAAAGCTGTAGGTCTTCAGTGAACCTAATTGTACCACAAAAGATTAAAACCATCAGGCCTGGGGCCACAAAAATGAACTCTAACTGCAGTTCAGATCTAAAAAAAAATGTATCCTATTCTGCAACTACAAAAACAGTACTACCAGTGATTTTTAGGATATGCTTATACATCCAGAACTCAAAATCTCTTGAGATCCATGAGCCTTTTTTCCCCATTTGCTTCTTATACTTAATCGGGAATCGCTAACCGTTTCTTTAGGCTCACAGAAACACATCGTGTCCTGCATGAGGAGGATGAGGAAGGGCAATGCTCGTCTGGGCCTCCTCCCCCCTTGAGCCATTAATCTGTCTAATGGGCAGCGAGCTCTACAGTGCCTTACAGAGGAGCTCGGTGCATCTCTCAGTGATGTCTCTGCAAGTTGGCAAGTGCCCAGGAAGTAGCAGGACCTACTATTGGCTGGAAAACCACAAGAGGCCTCCAACTGACTCCCACCCTCTCCAGGGGGCACTGTGCCAGCTGTGCCTCGCTGCCTGACAATTCCATCAACGCCTGACATGATCCAGATTCAAACCCGCAACGCCTGAACAGCAGAGCTCACTTGCACGTGATCCAGGACATTTCCTGACCAAGCTGCTCAGGAATGTGTACTCGGTGGCCTCACACTGGCACGCCGCAAAGGTCTGGTGCTATTCCTCCGAAGACATCTTTAGGCACATATGGCAAAGGTGGTGAACAACGGGGGAAAAAAACTCAACTCACCTCGAAAGTTCCTACTAATCGTCCTAACGTCCCTTTGACGCCAGCCTGTGAAATCAAGGGGAAAAAAAAAATTAGAGCCATTCGAAGTAGATCCTCAGGAATTTCAAGAGATGCTTTTGAACCTCCTTTTAAACAAGAAGCCTTAGGGAAAAACAGATGCCTAAAAGTCTCACAGTCTCCACTGGTTTGAATGAAAACAAGGTTTAAACCTGCTGCACTTTGTCTACTGACTTTGTTGCTTTCAAACGTCATTCATGCTGGGGTGACTGCAGAACAGTGTAGTGCAGTGCTCATTTGTTCCACATGTATTCCTGGAATAAAAACCTTTTCATTTGGAAAAAAGGAGCCATTCTAAAGCTTATGGTACCGTATGTGCACAGACAGTACAATCCACAGTGCGGCCTTCAGCTGCCAGACTATCCAGCGCCACCTATGGAGCACGCTCACTGCCTTGTACGATGGAGGACAGAACAAGAGGAGTGTTGCCATGGAAACTAGCACGGGCTACACTAAGTGCGATTTCTAAGAATCCCAAGGCTTTTCCTACAAAGGGACCAGCTGCTAGGCTGCGCGTCTTTGCGGAGTATAGCTGCAGTGCCGCGGGGAGAGAATCAAGCCAACAAAGGTGTGAGAAAAGCAGGTGTTTAGGTATTCCACAGATAGCATTCTGCATCCTTGCCATTATGTAGGATCACCATTTTATACACATTCAGCATTGAAATGATGTAGCACTTACAATGAGACCTGCTAACATTTCATACACCAAATTCATATAACCAAGCTATGGGCAGTAGCACAAAGCCCTACACCTGCTAGCACATTGCCTGCTAATCCCTGCCCTGAGTGGACATGCGTTAAAAAATAGCATCTGGGAAAACACATCAATCTAAAGTTTCATTTTTTTTTTTTATTTCAAATGGGGAAAAAAAAAACCCAGTCACTTGATGAAAGAACAGTTTCATTACAGCAGGCAACGGCCACCTCCCGCACAGCGCAAACGCCGAAAGAAAATGCTACCCTCTCAGAAAGGATCGTACTCTTCTTTCAGCAGCCAGTCTCCCTCCACACAGCTGCCTGAAGAGGAGCCGACAAACGAGTCAAAAACAGAGACTCTGCATTGAACAAACTCTCACTTGGCTCATCTGAAACCGATTCTTGTCACTGCCTTTCTCCATGCCGCATCACAGTCCTTTCCGGAGAAATATTAACACAGATTAAAAATTAAAAAGACCTTGTTCAGATCTCGTCAGTTGTTTTTTTTTTGCAAGTTTACGAAGTGCCCTTTACACATACTAAATGCGTTTCTTTCCCCAAAGCCCAGTACAGATGATACCGCCCGCCAGCACAGATGGGCCTTCTGGGGACCCAGGAGACATAAAGGGGGGAGAAGACGCCAAGATTAGTTCAGCCTGGCGTCACTGCAGTGCCACCCTCTTTAGGTTCACATTTCAGTCTAATAATAAATGTGTACTCAACAGCCACCCCCCTCCCCCCTCCATTTCCCAGCAAACCGCCCACCGGTCTCGCCATCTCCTGGCCTTCCCCCTCCTGCTCCACCAGGAAGGCAGCGACAGCCGGACAGGAGGGTGGACGGAGGAGGCTGGTTAGTGGCAGTGTCTCCTCTGATCCCGCCGTCTCCCGGTCCCACGGGAGCCTGCAGTCTAAAAGGAGCCCTGAAGGGGGAGCGCGTGTCTCGCTTGGAGCAAAGCGCATGGAAAACGATTCATTCCGCATCGGAGGTGGAGAAGATCAAATCCTCCGAAAAGGAAAGGAGAGGGGCAGGGAGAAAGAGACGGCCTGGGTATACGCAATGAGTGTGGCTCCTCTTTTGCTTTTCCTCCTCCTGCGTGTCCTGGCAGTGATATCGACCAGCATGTACGCGGGCTAAACTCTCCAGCAGGCAGCCATCTGTACCGGCTAACAGGGATCGTATCGCTATCACTGCATCTAAATGAAGATGGGGCAGCCTAGAAACTCAAAGGGGAGACACCTGAAAGCATACCAGACCATCTTTCTTCAGATCACAGAAGGCTGAAAATTGGGGGACTCATCAGTTTGTGAATGAAGTACTTCTGCCTAACACAATCTCAATTCTACTTTTCTCATGAGACTTGGGATCCGATTTAAACTTGGGATGAGAATTTTGATTAGATAAGATAAGATCACTTTATTGGCCATATACAATTTCTTGCATTAGGAATTTGTATTTTTCACATACCCCAGCTTGCTCTCCATGAGCCACGCAGACAGAGAGAAGCTTGGGGTCAGAGCGCAGGGTCAGCCATTGTTCAGCGCCCCTGGAGCAGCTGGGGTTAAGGGCCTTGCTCAGGGGCTCAACGGAATAGGATTCCTCTGCTGGCTGCGGGATTTGAACCAGCAACCTTCCAGCCACAGGCGCAGATCCTTAGCCATAGTGCCACTGCTCTGCCCCTCATTAATGCTAGAGTACTTAAATCTAATGCCACACAAAAATATTCTACACAGTTTGCACAACATGTCTATTATCTGCTCAAAATCCTCTACATTCTACTAAGCTAAAAGGACACAGTTCTTTTACAATCCTTTTTTGGCAAATGGTGCAACAGACGTTTTCTGTGGATGAAACTATGAATTTGGGCATAAAGCAATGTCCATCTGCTGAACTGAACATTTTTTATAGTCCATCTTTATGTTGCATAGTTCAACACCACAATTTCATCCATATTCTCTATATTTTCCCAAGGCGCCTTTTATTAGATCTCAAACTCAGTGTAGTTTTAAAAACATTTTTGGGTCAACCTCCCTGTACCCTACTCACTAACTACCAGGACTCTTACACAGCAGGAAGAGGTCACCAATAAAAACGGCCCATTTTCAATTTGTTTAAATCAGCACTGAACTCGCATTCATCAAGACTGAAAATATACAACTCATATTCCTTAGAAGACTTGGTAAATTGGTGTTGGAGTAGTTATTAAATGATGAAGTTCTCAATCGCACATCTAAATTCAGCATGTTCACCAACGGCTGTTACTGCAATCATGTTTTTTCTCAAACACATCCATCACCTCAGAGTGAAATCATCGCATACAGGAAGGACCACGTTACCATATATATATTATCTGGGGTGTTATATTTGAATCACTTTTCTCTAAATACAAATTAAAGTCTTACACTAACATGGCATCATTTATAAATGCTTTTTCACTAACTTCTTTTAATAGAATAAAAGCAAAAACCTAAACACAAAAACACTGACACAGATCAAACAAGGCACCAACTTTTAGTAAAGGACCCAAAGAAAATGTCAGGTACTCTCGGGTCTTGGGATTTATTTTGGATGGTGACACCTTATGTGAGGATACTGCATGTGCTGCCCATGTGCACATGTATGTGTTCATACATGCATTTAGCTGTCCTATGCTTCCTCCAGGTTATCATGACCCTTATCAGGAATAAACAAAATTACGATAACAGATGGATGTATTAGCTGTCACTTGATCTTCTAACAGTTCCTTCTCTGCTTCGCAGTCACATTATATTAGGATTTTCTGTTACCTCCTGCAGAGCACACTAATCCAAATAGTGTCTCACAGTGTGTGGAGAAGTCTGCAGGCTAACAGTAGGACAGGTTGCTATAGTAGTATTTATTGGCAGCAGGAGCCTTCATGCACTTAAGTAATCCACTTTCGTAAAGATGTGTGAGCACGTCTGTTCTGGTACTTACACTGAAATAATAACTATTTTCAATGTAGTAAAAAATCATCTGAACTGATGATGGCAAATTTGATTGTTTTTCTTACTGCTTCCATTTTGAATCTACTTGGGCTATGGAGAATATTTCAACCAGGCTTTGGAGTGATTAGTCAGTCGCGGTTTTAGGTCCTTTTCCGGCTGTGGACACCTTTTATCGTGAACCTTCCAGTTTCTCTGTTGCTCCTGATATGATTGTGAACTTTGTGACATAACACACTGGAAGGGGAGTCAACTTCCCTGTCAGGACGCTAATCAGACTAAAAGTCTGAATACTATTTTTCTTTGAGCTAAACGGGACTTTCTTGCTGCACATTCCTCTTCTATTCCTTTTCATTGTGCCATCACTGATCAATCTTCTCTCACTCCATTAGAAATGTTTAAACTGGTAGATAAAATCAAAGATCCGACTAACAGACGATAGTACTTTTACCACAACTGGAAAATACATCTTTTTCAGCACGTAAGTACTGTATGGCGCCTAGAACTTTAACCTCATCAAAACAGTTCTACCCTGGTGCAAAAAAAACCCAGAAAAAAATATTCTGACTAATAAATCCCTAAACAAGCCAAATTGAGATGAAATGTGTGGTTCTGCTATTATGTGGGCTACTATCCTTCAGTGTGCACTGTTTCCGAAACCCTCATCTTGGACCCATTTCAAGGAACAGGAAGTGGAGCTTTGCACATAAGTGGCTTGAGGTGCTGTTCCTG